AGGGCGAGGCTCAGAACCCGCACCGCCTTCAAATTTGCTCCTTCTCCTCCCAGGGGGAGCTATGACGTCACATGCGAGCTAGGAGTGGCTGTTACCACGGAGACTGGGAATCCCAGTGGGAACCCTGGGTAGGGTATCCGGGGATCTCACTCACCTCCCCGGGGCACTTCTACGGAGCCCGCAGTTCTGGCCCCGGAAACGCAGTCCGGAGCGCCTCGCATGCGCAAATTTGGCCATGCCCCAACGCGACCTACGACCCCACCCAGTAGCCGGAGGTTTGCGGACCCCCGTCCTCCACTAACCGAGAATGAACGCGGGGCCAACGCAGTACGCACGCGCACCCCTGACCTGTCCTTCAAAGCTGGTGACGTGATCGCTCCGCCAATAAGAATCCTTCTTCCAACCTGGCCCCGCCTCATTTTTTCTGGCTTTCGGCGTCTCGCTGTCTCCAAGGCAACCTTCGGACTGAGGGCCTGGGGAAGAGCGGCCCGGAGACTTCTGGATATTGTAGTCTCAAAGGGGCAGAGAAACGGGAGGCACACTTGTTCGTAAAAAGGAGACTGTGATAACAATGGCTGTATTCAAGGATGACTTCGTGGATAGAGAACGCTTGTAAATGGTTCTCAAACTGTTATTTTCTGGCGAAAAATAGCACCCGGATCCGGAAGTGGCCGCCGAGCAATCGGGCCGCCGATGGGAATGAGAAATGTCCCTGACCCAGCGTTCCCGTTTTCTATCCCTGGCCCTGCTTGCCAGGTCCTTCCCGCCAGGTGGCCTGGCCCGTTCGCTGGCCTCGGGGTCAGTTGTGGGGGGCTCGACCATCACTTGTGGAAGTTTCTGAGCCTATCGCGGTAACCATGGTAACACCGCACGCTCGCTCCCCGCCCCTTGCGCGGTGACGTCACGCGCCGGGCCCTGTGATGAGGCGTTGAGCTCGTGCGCCTGGGGAGGGCGGTGATGGGGCGGGTCCTGGGAGGAGCCCGGTGGGGGCGGGGCCGCTTGTGAGCTGTCCGCTTGGGGTCGGGGAAGCTTTATTATCGAAATAATCACTAGTAAATGATCGTGCCTGCTTTCTAGTAAGTGCTAAGAGACTTCGCTGGATTCACTGGCTCGTTTTTGTTTATTATTTTTTTGCTCCCAATTTGGTTGGAAACCCAGACTTTCCATTTCAGGCCTGTCTCCATGACAAATGGGCCACTAGTGAGTCTCGGGAGCACGCCCGCCTCCCCCTGCCCACCCTGGGCCTTCATTTATTCATCCAGCGGGTCGTTATTAAATGCCCGATAAGTGCCCGTTGCCATGGAGACAGCAGGGAACAAAGAAGGGGATGGACGTTTTGAGCGGGGAGACGCAGAAAGTGAACCCATGTTTTTCAGCCTCAGCGTTATTGACATTTGGGTCTGGGGGCCGTCCTGTGCACTGTAGCGTGTAGAGCAGCATCCCTGGCCTCCCCCTATGCCCAAATTGCTGTATAAGAGTTTTTGCTCCCCACTTAAGGACAAACTGGAAATTGTAGGTCCATATACCCAAACTAAAAACAAAGCAAAACCAACCTCTGGTCCTATATCAAAGCATTGGCAAATATGTGTACAATTACAGATTTTAAAGTATTTTTCATTGCCCCTTTTAACCAACTTTTTGATGAACCAAACGACTGGTCCTGATTGTGATGATTAGAGGTCTTATACACTCTTAATATCCCCATTTTATAGATAGTAAAACGCGGCACTGAGAAACAATAACTTCCCCAGAATGGCAATCCAGTAAGGGGTGGAGCTGGGATCTGGACTCAAGTCTTCTATATTCTCCACTTACAAAGCAGGCAGCATAACAGAACCTCCTTATAGGGTTGCTGCCAGAATTACGTGATAGATAGGACTCTTCGCACACCTGCCACCCCACATGCAAAGCCTCAGTGGAAGAACCAGGCACTCAGCCATTTCAACAAGTGTACACTTTATTACAGAAACAGAGGGAAAGAGCTGATAAAGGCTGAAGAGGAGTTGTGGGGGAGGCCCCTGCAGATGCTCACTCAGCTACACTCTGGGCCCATCTTCTCAGAGACACCTTCCTGCCATGCCTCTGGGCAGATAGGCACTATTCCTCAAAGGACCCAACTCATTACCCTCCAAATCGGCAGTCCAGGGAACAGGGAGTTTTCGCGGGAGTTGAGACTGACTACCTGAGAGATGGAGGACTCATGAAGGCTGAGCCGAGATGGAGCAGGGCCACTAGAAAGCACAGCAGGGATCGTTTCTAAGGAAGGCAAGAGAGGAGGGAAATGTATCTGTGCATCAATTTATATCCTAGACCACTCTCCTTGCTCACTGGGCTCTGCTCACCCTGCCCCTCCAACTCCCCGAGCTGACCCACTACCTGGAACATGCTTCCCTAGATCTCAGCCGGCTGGCTCCTCCCCATCACTCAGTGCAAATGTCTCCTCCTCAGAGAGGGGTTCTTCTGACCACCCAGTGGGACAAAGCTGCGCGCTCCAGTTCCTCTCTGTCACAGCACCTTCTAGGAAACTCAGATGATTGCTAGTTTATCCCCTGCACTCCCACTAGAGGGCATGCTCCAAGAGCACAGGGAGCTCCCCTGCTGCAGCCCTGCTGCACCCCCAGCCTGTCACACTGGGATCATGTAGAGTTGGTGCAGGGTGTGAATATATAAGGCCTGGGCACTGGAGTCCCAGGGAGAGATCAAGCGTCTTCTTGCTCCCAGAGGGGCTCACAGTCTGCTGCATTGGTCTGAAACCTACAGCCTGAGCGTGACTCCAGCCTCCACCCCTTTTTATAGTTTTAAAAAACTGAGGTAAAATCCACATGACATGAAATTCACCGTTTGACCATTTTAATGAATCCAGAATCCATCATAGAGCAGTTACTCAATAAAAATGTATTGACTGCATTTCTCAATAAGTGCAGCATAGAATTATCACATGACAGACTTTCTACTCCTAGGTGTGTGTACCCCAAAGAGCTGGAAACAGGTGTTCAAACAAAAATTTGTACACAGATGTTCATAGCAGCACTAGTAACAATAGTCAAAAGGTGGAAACAACTCAAATGTCCTTCAACTGAAGAATGGATAAACAAAATGTGGCATATCCATGCAAAGGAATACTATTCAGCCATGGAAAAGAATGAAGTGTTGTTACATGCTACAACTTGGATGGACTTTGAAAACATTATGTTACGTGAATGAAGCCAGACACAAAAGGCCACACAGTATATGATTCCACTCATATGAAATGTCCAGAATAGATAAACCCAGAGAGAGAGAGAGAGAGAGAGAGAGTTGATTAGTGGTTGCCAGGGGCTGGAAGGAGAGACTGCTTATGGGTACAGAGGTTCCTCTGGGGATGATGAAAAATTTTTGGAGCTAGATAGTTGCAAAACATTGTGAATGTCCTAAACGTCACTAATGGTAAGTTTTATTTTTTATTTTTTTTCAAAAAATTCTTTGAATTTTATTTGATATGTGTGTAGTCAAAATTCTCAACAAGGCACCTAAACCATGAGCAAGAGAAAACAAGAACAACTGCCAGCAAAATCATATCAGCAACGACTTTAGATACTGGAGTTATTCATAGAATATGAGTTAGGCTTAATATTTTAAATATATTCTTTTTTTTTTGGTAAGTTTTATAGGGACTTCCCTAGTGGCGCAGTGGTTAAGAATCGGCCTGCCAATGCAGGGGACACGGGTTCGAGCCCTGGTCCGGGAAGACCCCACAGGCCGCGGAGCAACTAAGGCTGTGTGCCAGAACTACTGAGCCCATGTGCCACAACTACTGAAGCCCACGTGCCTAGAGCACATGCTCCTCAACAAGAGAAGCCACCCCAGTGAAAAGCCCGCGCACCGCAACAAAGAGTAGCCCCTGCTCACCACAACTAGAGAAAGCCCGTGCGCAGCAATGAACACCCAATGCAGGCAAAAATAAATAAATAAATGTATTTAAAAATTTTTATATTATGTGTATCCTGCCACAACTTAAAAAAAATCCCACATAACATTTCTTGAGGGAATTCATAAATGAATTCTTTCAGTTCTCCATATCCTTATCATTTGTGAGCGGTGGCTTGAGATTAGGGAGATGAACTTGAAACTTTTCATTCAATTCTGTGATTCTACAGTTGGAGTTTTGAAACCCCCCTGGGGTTCCCTACTCAAACACTAGGCAGTTGGGACCAAGCCCTCCCACCCTAGCAGTGGACAAAATCCCCTTCCCTGCGAGAACATACTTGGTGTCCACTTCTGGGTTACAGTAATGGCAGTAACACTTGGGAGGCTGAAGAAGGGGTGAACCAGAAACAGAGAAAGAGATGGCAGGGGTGAGGCAAGTCTACCACCTTCCCTCCCTTTCTCCCCAGTCCTCCTTCCTTCTTTCCTGCCCGCCTCCTTCTCCTTCCCTCTGGTGGCGACATCCTGGGGTCTCCCCTCTTACTGCTTCATCTTCCAGCCAGTTCACTCCATCCCCATAAGTGACAGGATCCTCTAACCTGGGGTTTCTCAACCTCATCACCACTGACATTTTGACCTGGGTCAGTCTTTGCTGTGGGCACCGTCCTATGCAATATAGGATGTGGAGAGGCATCCCTGACCTCTATCCACTAAGTACCAGTAGCAACCCCTCCTCCAGCAGTGACAACCCAAAAGGTCTCCAGATGCTGCTGAGTGTCCCCTGAGTGGCAAAATCACCCCCATCTGAGAACCACTCATCTAACGAAGGGCCCATGCCAAGCCTGGCACTCATCTCCTCGGCCCCTCGGTCTTCCCCATCCCTCACACCAAATCCGTTAGCACTTCTTCTACAAGTGCTGCAAGGTCCTCCTCATCTTCACTATCATCACCAACATCCTGCCTGGGCCTTGGGTACCCGGCTCCTCCTTCCCTTCCTTCAAGCTCCCCTCTCTCCCCCTCCCTCCATCCATTCCCCCTCCCCCTCCCTCCATCCATCCCCCCTCCCCCTCCCTCATTAGGTACCCGGCTTTTCCTACCCAGCCTTCTTTACTGTAGGACACGAACAAGAAGGTGACCATCATGTAGGCGCATCTCAACGCGTTCCACCTGGTGTTCTTTCTTCGGAGGCTTCTTCAGGGTGGTAGTAGTTGGGTGAAACTTCACTGGGGAAAACCGAGTGGACACAACCGACGATGTGAAGACCTGCCCTTCCCTGTGTGGACATCCTGCCCTTCCTGAATTTCTGTCTGCACAGATGTCCCTCTGAACCCCACACCCACAATCCACCTGCCTCCCAGATTGAAATGTGGTCCACTGCTGCCGGGTTCCTTCACCTCTCCTCTCCATCCCCAAGGCGCCAGCCTCCCTTCCCCTCCTGACTACCGTTGCCCCAGCCTTCTACTGAACTCTCCTCTCCCTCAAACCAGCTCCCACCGGGGCCGCAAGGATCTAACACCCAGATCTGACCGTGTCACCTCCTCATTGCAGACCTCATCTAGTGCACAAGTCCTGTTTTACCTGCCCAACAGTTTTTCCCTCTTCTTTTTCCATTTTAAATTTTAATGAAACTATCACATACAAAAAAACTAATACAAATAAAGTTAAATACAAAATGGAGACAGCACTTGAAAATTCCCTGAGCGAGGAACCCATGTAAGTCGTGGAAGTTAAACTAAATCTAGCTTCTTTCAGGAACATAAGCAAAATTTAAATTATTTCTTTTAAATGCCTCTGGTAACCATAAGAGGAACTTAAGTCATCTTCCGCAAAATGGTATAAGATAGTCCCCTTTTAACCAATCCCACTGCCATCTGGAAACCTCATTGTAATAACCATCACTTTAAAGCAAAAACAGGGACTTGCCTGGTGGCGCAGTGGTTAAGAATCCACCTGCCAATGAACGGGACACGGGTTCGATCCCTGGTGCAGGAAGATCCCACATGCCGCGGAGCAACTAAGCCCGCGTGCCACAACTACTGAAGCCCGTGTGCCTAGAGCCTGTGCTCTGCAACAAGAGAAGCCACTGCGATGAGAAGCCCACGCACCACAATGAGGCGTAACCCTCGCTCGGGGCAACTGGAGAGGGCCCACGCGCAGCAACGAAGACCCAGCGCAGTCCAATAGGTAAATAAATTTATTTATTTATTAAAAAAGAAAAAGTCTACAAATGACAAATGTTGGTGAAAAGGAAACCCTCCTACGCTGTTGGTGGGATTGTAAATTGGTGCAGCCACTGTGGAAAACAGTATGGAAGTTCCTTTAAAAGCTAAAAATAGAACTACCATATGATCCAGCAATCTCACTCCTGGGTCTATATACATAGACAATGAAAACACTAATTCAAAAAGATACAGGTACCTAAAAAAAAGAGAAAGATACAGGCACCTCAGTGTTCATAGCAGCGCTATTTAGAATCGGCAAGACGTGGAAGCAACTTAAGTGCCCATCAACAGATGAACGGATAAAGAAGATGTGAGATATATATATATATATAGAGAGAGAGAGAGAGAGAGAGAGAGAATATTATTCAACCATAAAAAGAATGAAATTTTGCCATGTGCAACAACATGGATGGATCTGGAGGGTATGATAGTGAAATAAGTCAGAGAAAGACAAATACTGTGTGTTATCACTCATATGTGGAATCTAAAAAATAAAACAAATGAATGTATGTAACAAAACGGAAACAGACTCACAGATATAAAAAAGAAACGAGTGGTTACCACTGGGAAGAAGGGTAGGTAGGGGTAAGGGATTAAGAGTTACAAATGACCGTGTGTAGAAGAAATAAGCTACAAGGATATACTGTACAGCAGAGGGAGTATAGACATTATTTTATAACTTTAAATAGAGTAAAATCTATAAAAATTTTGAATCATAATGTCGTACACTTGAAACTAATGTAATATTAATCAACTATACCTCAATACAAACTATAAAAATATGTAAAATCATAATTTAGTCTCATAAAATAGCATAATAAATAAAACAGGTTATAATCTAATTGGAAGATTATCATATAGTAAGTACAATTTGATCTCTATATAATACTTTGGGGTCAATAATAATCTGTATAATAAAATATTTCATTTTATTATTTATAATATATTTATATATTGTAAATAATAATAAAATTAAAAATAAATAATAATAAATATAAAATAATAAATAATATAATAAAAATAATAATATATTTCAATATAATATAATATTTCTTTATAAATTTATTTATTTTGGGGGGGCTGCGTTGGATCTTCTTTGCTGCTCACGGGCTTTATCTAGCTGGCGAGCGGGGTCTACTCTTCATTGTGGTGTGCGGGTTTCTCTTTGCGGTGGCTTCTGTTGTTGCAGAGCACGGGCTCTAGGTGCACGGGCTTCAGTAGTTATGGCATGCGGGCTCAGTAGCTGTGGCGCATGGGCTTAGCGGTTCCGAGGCATGAGGGATCTTCCCAGACCAGGGCTTGAACCCATGTCCCCTGCATTGGCAGGCGGATTCTTAACCACTGCGCCACCAGGGAAGTCCCACAATAACATTTAAATATACCATTCTAGTAAAAGAAAAAAATGGCAGGTCATGTGAATTACCAAATGAAGGGTCAAATTAATTCCCACACTAACAGCAGAAAGATTTATTTTTTTTAAAACAGATACTCATTCCTTGAAGCATCAGTTAGCAAAACATTTCCTCATTTGAAGAACTGGTTATTTTACTTTATTTTTTCGTTTTATTTTTTATTGAAGTATAGTTGACTTACAATATTACATTAGTTTCAGATGTACAAAGTAGTAATTCGATATTTTTATAGAATATACTACATACTTTATTATAAATATTAACTGTACTCCCTGTGCTGTATATTACATCCTTGTAACTTAGTTTATACCTACTAGTTTGTACCAATTAAATCCCTTCATCTATCTTGCCCCTCCCTCTTCTTTCTCCCCACTGGTATCACTAGTTTGTTCTGATTCTGTGAGACTCTTTTGTTATATTGTCCCTTTTTTTACTTTTTAGATTCCATTGGTTATTTTATTTTATTATTATTATTATTATTGGCCATGCCATGCAGCATGTGGGATCTTAGTTCCCCGACCAGGAACCAAACCTGTGTCCCCTGCATTGGGAGCATGGTGTCTTAACCACTGGGCCACCAGGGAAGTCCTGGTTATTGTATTTTATTTTATTTTAATTTTTCGGACACTTTAAATTATTTTTAATACAATTTTTAAAGGTTACACTCCATTTACAGTTATTACAAAATATTGGTTATATTCAGCACTATTCACAATAGCCAACACATGGAAACAACCTAAATGTCCATCGACAGATGAATGGATAAAGAAGATGTGGTACATATATACAATGGAATACTACTCAGCCATAAAAAAGAATAAAATAATGCCATTTGCCACTACATGGATGGACCTAGAGATTGTCATACTGAGTGAAATAAGACAGAAAGAGAAAGACAAACACCATATGATATCACTTATATGTGGAATCTAAAATAAGACACAAATGAACACATCTATGAAATGGAAACAGACTCACGGGCATAGAGATCAGACTTATGGTTTGCCAAGGGGGAAGGAGGTGGGGTAGGGATGGATTGAGAGTTTGGGATTAACAGATGCACACTATTATATATAGGATGGATAAACAACAAGGTCCTACTGTAGAGCACAGGGACTATATTCAATATCCTGTGATAAACCATAATGAAAAGATTATGAAAAAGAATGTATGACTGAATCACTGTGCTGTCCAGCAGAAATTAACACAACATTGTAAATCAACTATACTTCAATTTTTAAAAAAAAGCAACCATAGGCAACAATACTGAGATTCTAACCAGCAAAGAGGTACACTTCAAAATGATGGCCTTCTATTTGTGCCTCTGGAGGCAAAAAGTACAACATCCAGTTTGGCAAGAATGTAGGAAAATGATCACCCTGCTCTCTGCTGGCCGGATTGTGAAGTGTTAGTTTCCCGGCAGGTATTGTATCTGGTAACATATACTAAATGTTGTATGAATGTGCATGTGTCTTGACCCAACAATTTACAATTATCGAAATCAGAGAAATGTTCCAAACTTGCTAAGAAGAGTTAATTGTCACTTATTTATTGTTACATTAAATTAATGACAATGGCTAAATACTCCCTATCTTTAAAAAAATAATAAATATATATATTATATATTATATATATATATTATATATATATAGGCTATATTCCCAGTGTTGTACACTACATCCTTGCAGCCTAATTTACACCCAAAAGTTTGTACCTCCTACTCCCCCACCCATATATTGCCCATCCCTGCCCTCTCCCGACTGGTCACCACTAGTTTGTTCTCTATATCTGTGAGTCTGCTTCCTTTTTATTATACTAGTTTGTTGTATTTTTTAGATTCCACATATAAGTGACATCATATGATATTTGTCTTTCTCTGTCTGACTTACTTCACTCAGTATGACAACCTCTAAGTCCATCCATGTTGCTGCAAATGGCATTATTTCATTCTTTTTATGGCTAATATTCCATTGTATATACATACCACACCTTCTTTATCCATTTTTCTGTTGATGGACATGGGTTGCATCCATGTCTTGGCTATTGTAAATAATGTTGCTATGAACTTTGGGGTGCATGTATATTTCTGAATTAGTGTTTTTGTGTTCACTTGGGTGACAAGTTCTTCTCATCTCACAGAAGAGTTCAACAATCAACCATAGTTAATATGAGGATCCAGGGAGGTCAGTTGTTTTCCCAAGGTCTCCGAGTTAGCTCGGAGAATAGAAAGTTGAATAGAAAGCCAAACCTTTCGAAAACCCACTTCTATCTGTCCTGATTTCTAAGTATTCTCTTTAGACATTCCCACTTGGGACTTACCCCACAGAGCCCTCTTGACCTCAGTGTCCTCAAGTCACAGACTTGTTCTCAAACTGTGCCAGGAGATGAAATGTCTCTATTTATATGGAGCTGGGGGAAATTCCAGGGGTCCCTGACTGTTACCCAGTAAGCAGAGTGATTGGGTTAATGTTGTGGAACGAACCATTTTGCATAATCCAGGTGGATTCA